CCAACATGGGTCAGGCCACCACCGACAGGCGACCTCGGCCCCACGCTCACTGTCCTTGCCCTTGGTCTGTAACCCCTTCCTCCTAAGAACTGCATCCAACCGTGCCGGGCGCGGTGGCTCACGCCTGTAATCTCAGCACTTTGGGAGGCCAAGGCGGGCAGGTCATGAGGTCAAGAGATGGGGACCATCTTGGCCAACATGGTGAAACCTTGTCTCTACTAAAATTACAAAAAATTAGCTGGGCGTGGTGGCATGCACCTGTAGTCTCAGCTACTTGGGAGGCTGAGGCAGAATTGCTTGAACCCAGGAGATGGAGGATGCAGTGAGCTGAGATTGTGCCACTGCACTCCAGCCTGGCAACAGAGTGAGACTCCGTCTTGAAAAAAAAAAGTGCATCCAACCTGCCATTGCCCCTTGGTGCCATCCACCCCCTACAGCATGGAACTCAGCCCCTTGACATGCAGACAGGGCAGGTCCCACAGAGCTCAGCTGCACCCCACTTCCCACCACCTGTCACCCCAGATAGGTCCTGCAGCTCCAGCCTCTGTGTGCGGCCCTGCCGCCAACATCCCACGCCCTCTTCTCTGCCTCTGCAAAGCCTCTCCTTATGTTCCTAGACCAAGCAAGGGACTCTTCTGTCATCCAGCGTTCTAGAATGTCCTGTGCCCAGGGCAATCTCTGGCACACAGCAGAGGCTTAAAAGAGACTGGTTGAATGAGTCCTGACCACACCATTAACCCAGCACTCACCAAACTGCCCTAAAAATGCCTGTGTGCTATCTGTCTCCACTAGCAGACCACGCCAGGCACATGGCTAACTCACCCTCAGCTCTCGGCAGCACAAGGTCCGACAGGCGGTGCCAGGCCACGGTGAGTGCTGAGTGCCAGGCCCACGGAAGCCCTGGGCACCCGCCCAAAGCTGAGTTACTCAAACCTGGAAACCACTTGACTTCAGCTATTCGCGATTTGTAAAACACATTAGAGTGCTTTTGCCACATCAGAACAGAGCTAGGATACTCTGCAGTGGGAAACATACGTCAACACGTTTCTCTAACATCATGACGGCATCACATTGCTTTTCCACATGCAGAAAAATACGTGCAAAAGGCCGGGCGAGGGGCTCACGCCTGTAACCCCAGCTCTTTGGGAGGCCAAGAGGTCAGGAGTTCAAGACCAGCCTGACCAACACGGTGAAGCCCCAGCTCTACTAAAAATACAGAAATAAGCCGGGCGTGGTGGCGGGCACCTATAACCCCAGCTACTCAGGAGACTGACGCAGGAGAATCACTTGAACCCAGGAAGCGGAGGTTGCAGGGAGCTGAGATCACATCACTGCACTCCAGCCTGGGTGACAGAGTGAACTCCATCTCAAAAAAAGAAAGAATGTGCAAAAATGACAGAAACCTGAAGTAACCCTCATAGCCCCAAATCCCAATGTCAAAGCAGAGTTTATGAACAAAAGCCAACCTCTGAGAGCCACAAAGCCTCCCTACGTTTTCCTTACCCAGCCAGACAAGCAGCAGCGACCCCCTTGCCTCCGAGGGCCACTCAGCTGACCACGTGCAGCCCAACCCCCACCCCGCCCCCAGGCCGAGCAAGCACCCAGAGCACCTGCAAGGCCCAGACAGCCGGCACGCCCACCAAGCTTCCTCGGGGAGGTCCTCACACTCAACAAGCAGCATCTCCATGGGTCTGAACACTGGGCTGCCGGTCCCTGGGGACACTCAGGAGCTCCAACTGGGAAGGGTGCCGTACGTGGGGAAGCCGGTGGGTGGGGAAGCCTACACCCCACTGACCCCAGGGCAGGACACAGGAGGCGGTGGGACCGCCCCAGCCCCGCAACATCTGTGGGCTCTGCCCGGGGCTCCCAGTGCTTTGGAGCCTAAGAAGGAGACTGCTCTGTGCGCCAAGAAACTACTAGAGGCTTATACAAAAATACCAGCTGGCGACCCACAGCGGCCTCCCCAAAGGAAGCCCGACAGGACGGGGCGGGAGGAGCAGGTCCTTAGAGGAGAAGGCAGGAGGGAGGAGGACTGGGCAGGGAGCCTGCACAGGTGACTCCACAGCCCCCCAGGGCCACCACACAGCCACGCTGACCTCTGGCAGCAAGGTCTCCAGCAGGCCATCCACCCCGGCTCCCCAGCGCTCAGGTCGCGCTTCTCCGGGACAGGTGGGTGAGGGGAACCAGGATGGACCAAGGCAGGGCAAGGGCAGGGCTGCACAGGGCAGCGGTAGGAGAGGCTGCCGCAAAGAAAAGGGGCGGGGCGGGGGGCAGGTGAGGCTGGGTGGGTCACCTGGGGCAGGTGTGCGGGGCAGGCCGGTCAGGTGGGCTGGTGTTCGGGGAAGGTGGGGCAGGTCGGTAACGTGGGGCTGGTGTGTGGGGTAGGTGGGGCAGGCCGGTCATGTGGAGCTGGTGTGCAGGGCAGGTGTGTGGGGCAGGCCGGTCACGCGGGGCTGGTGTGCGGCGCAGGTGTGTGGGGCGGGCCGGTCACGTGGAGCAGGTGTGAGGGGCAGGTGGGGCGGGCCAGTCACGTGGGGCTGGCGTGAGGGGCAGGTGGGGCGGGCTGGTCACGTAGAGCAGGTGTGAGGAGCAGGTGGGGAGGGCTGGTCACGTGGGGCAGGTTTGAGGGGCAGGTGTGAGGGGAGGGCCGGTCACGTGGAGCAGGTGTGAGGGGCAGGTGGGGCGGGCCGGTCACGTGGGGCTGGTGTGAGGGGCAGGTGGGGCGGGCCGGTCACGTGGGGCAGGTTTGAGGGGCAGGTGTAAGGGGCGGGCTGGTCACGTGGAGCAGGTGTGAGGGGCAGGTGGGGCGGGCCGGTCACGTGGGGCAGGTTTGAGGGGCAGGTGTAAGGGGCGGGCTGGTCACGTGGAGCAGGTGTGAGGGGCAGGTGGGGCGGGCCGGTCACGTGGAGCAGGTGTGAGGGGCAGGTGGGGCGGGCCGGTCACGTGGGGCAGGTTTGAGGGGCAGGTGTGAGGGGCAGGTGTAAGGGGCGGGCTGGTCACATGGAGCAGGTGTGAGGGGCAGGTGGGGCGGGCCGGTCATGTGGAGCAGGTGTGAGGGGCAGGTGTGAGGGGCAGGTGGGCAGGCCGGTCACGTGGGGCAGATGTGAGGGGAAGGTGGGGCGGGCCGGTCACGTGGGGCAGGTTTGAGGGGCAGGTGTGAGGGGCAGGTGTAAGGGGCGGGCTGGTCACATGGAGCAGGTGTGAGGGGCAGATGGGCGGGCCGGTCACGTGGGGCAGGTGTGAGGGGCGGGCTGGTCACATGGAGCAGGTGAGGGGCAGGTGTGAGGGCCAGGTGGGGCGGGCCGGTCACATGGGGCAGGTGTGAGGGGCAGGCTGGTCACATGGGGCAGGTGAGGGGCAGGTGTGAGGGGCAGGTGTAAGGGGCGGGCTGGTCACATGGAGCAGGTGTGAGGAGCAGGTGTGAGGGGCAGGTGGGCGGGCTGGTCACGTGGGGCAGGTGTGAGGAGCAGGTGTGAGGGGCAGGTGGGCGGGCTGGTCACGTGGGGCAGGTGTGAGGGGCGGGCTGGTCACATGGAGCAGGTGAGGGGCAGGTGTGAGGGGCAGGTGGGGCGGGCCGGTCACGTGGGGCAGGTGTGAGGGGCAGGTGTAAGGGGCGGGCTGGTCACATGGAGCAGGTGTGAGGAGCAGGTGTGAGGGGCAGGTGGGCAGGCCGGTCACGTGGAGCAGGTGTGAGGGGCAGGTGTGAGGGGCAGGTGGGCGGGCCGGTCACGTGGGGCAGGTGTGAGGGGCAGGTGCGAGGGGCAGGTGCGAGAGGCAGGTGGGCAGGCCGGTCACGTGGGGCAGGTGTGAGGGGCAGGTGCGAGGGGCAGGTGGGCAGGCCGGTCACGTGGGGCAGGTGTGAGGGGCAGGCGCGCGGGAACCGGGCGAGGCAAGAGGCCGGTGGGCGCACTTGCCTGCAAAGGCTGCGGCAGCGGCGGCCTCGTCCGGGCCGGGCAGGGCCTCGGCGCCCATGTCCATGTGCCCAGGCTCCGCCGCCATCACCGCCACTGCCGTGACCCTCGGCGTCTCCCGCTCCGCCTCCGAGTCTGCGTCCTCCTCCGAGTCCTCGTCCCTGCTCAGCACCGGTTCCTCCGCATCGCCTCCCGCCGCGGCCGCGGCCGCCGCCGCCACAGCGGCCGCGGCCGCCACCGCTGCCGCCTCAGCCAGGCCCAGCTGCTTTGCCGCCGAGTCCGAATCCTCCATCCGGACTCCGCCGAGCCCTCCCGAAGGAGCCGTCCGAGGCCGCCCGAAGCGCCGGTCGCGGAGCCCGAAGAGGGGTCCGAAGAGGACACCCGAGCTGGGCCGAGGCCGCCCGAAGCCGCCGCCCGAACAGGGGCCGAAAAGGCAGCCAGCCGCCGAGCGGAGCCGAGTCGAATCCGGCCGTCGAGCGGGGCCGAGGCAAACCGAGGCTGACCGAGCAAGGGCCGAACCTGCACGAAGCCGCCGAGCCAAGACCGAGTCCGGAACCGAGGAGGGTCGAAGTTCCCCGAAGTGGGTCGAAGCTCCCCGAAATGGGAAGCCGAGTCAGTCCGAGTAGGTCCGAATATGCACGAGGGTTTCCGAGAAACTCGGCCCAGCTCTCCTCACTGCCTAAGAGGCTGAGGCGGCTGTCGTTCACGGCCGACTGGGCTGGACGGCTCTGGGCAGATTCGCGCTGGCGCTCGACGAAATTCGGCCTCTCAGACAGAGCCTAGCGCCGCAGGCTTCGCCCGTTCCGGTTGCCGGCGGGAGCCGAGTCAACCCGACACCGAGCCGAGCCGAGCCGAATGTCCCCGAACCCGAATGCTCCCGAACCTCGGCTCTCCGCCTCCTCCGTTCCGAAAGTGCCCGAACGTTCCCGGACACACTAATCGGGCCTCGGCCGTGGCTCGGACGTCCGCTCCGAAACGCGGCACGGTCGGGCCCCTTCGTCAGGAGACGCGAAAATGGCCGAAGGAGCGCGAGCGGCGCAGGCTCAGAGGCTGCCGGGATCGCGACGGACCGGGGGGCGGGGCGGCTAAGATGGCGGCCGCGCGGCGAGGTGAGCTCCGGCGGGGTGGGGGCTTCCGGGCTTGCCGTGGCAGGCGCGGCGTTTCCTTTTGTGGTAGCAGTCGGTTTCCGTTTTCGGTGCGCTCACGGGGCTGTGCCACCGCCTCTAGGTGAGCGAGACAGCTCCGTCGCCCCATCGAGAAGCGCGGCCGGGCCTGGGTGGCGGGCGTCGTGCGCCCCGCGGAGCTCCCCCGCGTGCAGACGCCTGGCCCTGGGGAGGGCGGGGGCGGAGCGCCGCTGGAGCGACTTTGGGGGCCCCAGTCCCCGCAGCTCTTGTCCCGCGCGCGGCTTTCATGAGGACACGTGGGCGGGACGGGCGCGGGGCTCCGGTAGCCTTGGACTCCTCGCCGGTGCCGGTGCCCGGCCTGGGAGGCGCCTCCGAGGGGAGGGACGGACAGACCGGGGCGGGAATCGGCCGTCTCTGCTGCCCCGCGGGGCTCGGGTCCACGCCTGCGCGCGGTCCCGGTGATGAGAACGGCCTCTCCGCAGGCGGGCAGCCTGTCGCCCGCGGGTGCGTTTGTGTGTTTACGGGGGTCGAAGGTTACGTTTAGGTCGGGCGCCGCGGCTCACGCCCGTCATCCCAGCACTTTGGGAGGCCGAGGCTGCAGGACCGTTTGAGACCAGCCTGGGCAACGTAGCAAGACCCCTCTCTACGCAGAACGCGTAAACCTCAGCCAGGCGGGTGGCGCGCGCCTGTGCCCTTCGCTGCGCTGCAGGCTGAGCGGCTGGCGGGTCACCTGAGCCTGGGAGGTTGAGGCTTCAGCAAGCCGTGATCGCCCCACTGCACCCCAGCCTGGGCGACAGAGAGACCTGCCTCTACCAAAAAATTAAAAAGGCTGGCGGATCACTGGAGCCCAGAAGGGCGAGGCTGCCATGAGCTGTGTGATCTCAGGCCCCTGCACTCCAGCCTGGGCAACGGAGCAACCCCGTGTCCAGAAAAAATCGAGCGTATCCCAGAACAAGATGTCTTCACGCACCCAAGGAAGACGTTTGTTGCCTTTTACCTGCAGGCTTAACTTCCGTCCCGCCCAGGCTTTTATAGCTGTTTTTCCCAAGCCCCACAACTTCGATCTGTAACAGGGAGTAGCTAGCACACAGCAGATACATTGGAATTGTTTAAGAAGCCATTGGGAGGCCGAGGCGGGTGGATCACCAGGTCAAGAGATGGAGACCATCCTGGCCAACATGGTGAAACCCCATCTCTACTAAAAATACAAACATTAGCTGGGCGCGGTGGCGCACGCCTGTAGTCCCAGCTACTCCGGAGGCTGAGGCAGGAGAATGGCTTGAACCGGGGAGGCAGCGGTTGTGGTGAGCCGAGATTGCACCATTGCACTCCAGCCTGGACCACAGAGTGAAACTTTTTTTGTTTGTTTTGTTTTGTTTTTGAGACGGAGTTTCGCTCTTGTTACCCAGGCTGGAGTGCAATGGCGCGATCTCGGCTCACCGCAACCTCCGCCTCCTGGGTTCAGGCAGTTCTCCTGCCTCAGCCTCCCGAGTAGCCAGGATTACAGGCACGCGCCACCATGCCCAGCTAATTTTTTGTATTTTTAGTAGAGACGGGTTTTCACCTTATTGACCAGGATGATCCCGATCTCCTGACCTCATGATCCACCCGCCTCGGCCTCCCAAAGTGCTGGGATTACAGGCTTGAGCCACCGCGCCTGGCCGAAACTTTGTCTCAAAAAAAAAAAAAAAAAGCCAACCCCTTTTTTTTTTTTTTTTTGCGAGACAGTCTCGCTCTATCGCCCAGGCTGGAATGCAGTGGTGCAGTCTCAGCTCACTGCAGCTCTGCCTCCTGGGTTCAAACGATTCTTCTGCCTCAGCCTCCTGAGTAGCTGGGACTATAGGCACACGCCACCACGCCTGGCTAAGTTGTGTTTTTAGTAAAGATGGGGTTTCACCATGTTGGCCAGGCTGGTCTCGAACTCCTGACCTCATAATCTACCCACCTCAGCCTCAAAGTGCTGGGATTACAGGTGTGAGCCACTGTGCCTGGCCAAAGAAACCGACCTTTAAGAAATGGATCAGAAGGGATGAAAACCCCAATTAGTGCAAAATTAGCACAAATAATGACAGGTATTTAGGTAGCCCGGTTTAAGAGCAGATCAGGTTTAATGAGTGGCCTGCCGGTAATACGATGCGATGTAGTTTGCGGTGCCCTTGGCTTTCTGCTTCCAGCAGGTGCCGCCTCTTCCAGGAGCCCAGTTCTGAGCCTCTGATGCCAATGTCCTGTGTTTACTGGCTTAAGACTTGCCCATGTTAGATTCCACAAACTCTGGCACAGAAGGCCCCAGATCTGCCCGAGAAGACAAAAATCTCACTGAGGCCGGGTTTCTGTCACTGAAGGGGAAGTGGAAGACAGGCTGTGTTCAGGTGGCTGTCCTGCCTGCTGCCCAGGGGTGCAGCTTAAGCCACCTTTTATGAGAGGTTTTCACCCAGTTCTAGATCAGTGTTGGTGGATCCACACATGTAGAGACGTGCACATATCACGTGTGCAACTCGCACGAACCCTTTTCAGGCAGTTAATCCCACCCGGGCCATGGTGGATCCAGGGTGAGTCAGAGGAGTCTTCAGACGCAAAACCTCAGAATCAGAAAGGAGAAAAGAGGCTCCACTCACTCCTCGGGCTTCCTGTCGCCCCAGGTGGGTGGGAGAAGGTGCAGGAGTTGGACTGCAGCACTGCTGGTTTGGAAAATTCTTATTTTTGGAGGGATATTTGGGGATAATGTTCCAGAGGAATCCAAATATCTGTTATCAATTATGGAAAAAGATTTGTTACAACCCAGGTCACAAAAGGTTTTCGTCTAGTCCCGTATGTGGCAAGTACAGGAAGCGTCAGAAGTTGAGAGCTGCTGATTGGGGCACTGCTTTCCCTGAGGGCCAGCTGGAGGGTTCACTTTCCACCACCCAACCCCGCCCCACACTCAGGGTTCTGAAAGGCAGAGACCACTGCCTCACTGAAGGATGGCCCACGTAAGTGTGTGGTGCTTTCCACGCGCGTGAGGTTAAAGGGGAGTAAAGCGGTGGTTCCTGTCTGGAGCAAGACGCAGGAAAGCATCCTGGCAGCTGTCAGGCCTTGCTCACGGGCCCTTTCTCTTCCAGGGAGAGGCTCCTCCACCATGGTATCCTGCTGCATGCCCCTCCAGGACAGCGCCCAGAGGGAAGTGCTGCCCCGCAGAGCATCTTCCTCACCCCCACGGTTTCCCTGCGTTCTGCCTACTGATTCCACTTCTGAGAGGGGCTGTTCCTCTACAGATTTAGAGTTGATATAGCTTCCTCTGGTCGGCATGCTGGCTGCTGAGGCCTGCATGCACAAAGTGGCTTAGCACGCCCAACTGCCCAGCTACCAAGGGGTGGCCACCTGCTTCTGTCCTGACCGCTAGTGGCAGGAAGATGGAAGCCCCCCGCTTTGTATGTCCATAGATCCATTCTATTTTATTTTTATCTATGTATTTTTAAGGATGGAGCCTTGATCTCATCCAGGCTGGAGTGTGGCATACACAGGTCACTGCGACCTTGGCCTCCCGAAGCGCCAGCATAACAGGCGTGAGCCGCTGTGCCTGGCCGCAGTATGAAACGTACACGGCCCAGGAAATGGCTAGTAGATACTTAAGTGCCCCCAAACAGAGATATATTTTCTCTGAAGAGAATGAAAAAAGTGGCCAGGCACAGTGGCTTACAAGTGTAATCCCAGCACTTTGGGAGGCTGAGATGGGTGGATCACTTGAAAACAGGAGTTTGAGACCAGCCAGGCAAACATGGTGAAATCCTCGCCATACTAAAAATACAAAAAATTAGCCGGGTGTGGGGGCGCATGCCTGTAATCCCAGCTACTCAGGAGGCTGAGGCAGGAGAATCACTTGAACCTGGGAAGCGGAGATTGCAGTGAGCCGAGATCACACACAGCACTACACTCCAGCCTGCGAAACAGAGCAAGATTCTGTCAAAAACGAAAGAAAGAAGATGACAAAGTTATTTTTTCTAAGTCGTAACTGGGACAAGAGTCAGGGTAGCATCACTGGGAGTGCCAGTGTGTGGAGGCTGTCCCCTAACCAGTCCTGTCCACAGTCACTGAGGGCAGGGGCTTCGGTGCGCAGACCGCATTGTTCTGGGATGGGGGACGGGTCCCACAAAGGCCCTGCCCGCTCACGGGACCACATTTTCCTCAAGCGTAGTGATAGAAGCCCCAGACAGACTGGGAGCCGTGGCCAGGTCCCCGTGGCCCCCTGGAAAAGATGACAGAACCAGCCCTTCCTGTCAGCACCTGGGAGGCTGCTCCCAAGCCTGTTAAGCCTGGGGATCCTTAGCCACTCACCAGCTCTCTTCGGTTCCCCTTCAAATGCTGTTTTATGTCAGCGGAACGTACTGCACCCTGTATTTCCTCGCCACGCTCCTGATAATCACGTATAAAAGTAAGTCAGGGCTGGGCGTGGTGGCTCACTGTTGTAATCCCAGCAGTTTGGGAGGCTGAGGCAGGTGGATCACTTGAGGTCAGGAGTTCAAGTCCAGCCTGGCCACCATGGTGAAACTCTGTCTCTACTAAAAACACAAAAAGTATCGGGGCGTGGGGGCAGGTGCCTGTAATCCCAGCTGCTTAGGAAGCTGAGGTGGGAGGGTTGCAGCAGGCCAAGATCGTGCCTTTGCGCTATAGCCCTGGAGACAGCAAGACCCTGCCTCAAAACAAAAGAGGGAAAGGCAGGTTGAGGCCACCGCTGCTGCCCTGGGTGACGTGTCCTTTCTCCGCCTGTGCTCTTCAGGTCAAGTGTTCAGCTATCCTCACCGCTGCCTGGTGCTGGATCTCGCTCTGCTGCTTCTCATGGGGATTCTGGAAGCAGTTCGGCTGTATCTGGGTGAGTGGACGGTCAGACTGTAAGGAACTTGTGATAGGAGTTGCTCTCTGCTACCACAGCCTTTAAGTATTCATCTTTTCATAGTATGGTTCTTGGAGACATTTTTATCCAGACTGCTAACCCAGTTGCCCTGCAGGCTCCCCTTACAGTGTCATTAAGTATTAATTGAGAAGTTTTGTCCCAGAGACAAATAACACTGGGGGCATCGCTGGGGAGACTCTGTTTGGAAGTATGTCCTGCAGAAGCCACTGGGTAATGGCACTGAGACCAGAAGCCCAGCCCGCCACCACATCCGGAGCTCCAGAATATTCACCTGCGCCCCCTTCCTTCCCCTTGGCCTCAACTGTCTGAGAAGGAAGGCCTGGAGAGTTCTGCCAGGTCCCAAGGAGGCAGAGTCTAGAGGGACTCTAGCACCCACTAGCCTCCCCAGTCCAACTCTAGCAGTCCCCACGTCTGCAACCCCTTCAAGTGGCCTACTTTTTTTGAGATGGGGTCTCACTCTGTGGCCCAGGCTGGAGTGCATTGGTACGGTCACAGCTCACTACAGCCTTGACCTCCTGGGCTCAAGTGATCCTCTCCCCTCAGCCCTCCCGCTCCACCCAGGTAGCTGGGACTGTAGGCACCTGCCACAACACCCAGCTGACTATTATTATTATTGTTTTGGTAGAGACAAGGTGACAGGGTTTCACTGTGTTGCCCTGGCTGGTCTTGAACTCCTGGGCTCAAGAGATCTGCCCACCTTGGCCTCCCAGAGTGCCCAGCCCTACTCCCCTTTTTAACCCCATGGTTTATTCATTTGCTCCTCTCCGGGTCGGCTGTGTGGGCGATGGTGAGTTTGGTCTCGCCCTCCTCGGAGCTCACCTCTGTGGCCCCCGCGCTCCAGACTTTTAGCCCTCTGCATGCTTGTGGTCACAGCACGTGTGTCTGAAACACTGCCCTGCTGTGGGGACACGGCAGGCACATCCGAGGCACTTCGCACCTGCCAGGCTGGAATCGTAGGCCCCTCTTGTTCACACACAGACACACCCCTGATGCCCTATGTCCAGTGAAGAACCGAGGCTGCAGGGGAGGTGGGCCCCGCTTCTGCTTGACATGAGGCCTCAGACCCCACTAGGAGGATGGAGGCGGTCCTCTCAGCTCCCCGTCCCGCCCCGCCCTGCTGCAGGGTGCCTGGCTGTCCATGTCCATCCTGCCCCGCCTTGGGGTGCCCGGCTGTCCGTGTCTTGCCTGTGCTGGCAGATGGTACCTGAGCCTCTGCAGCTCGCTGCCCAGAGCCACACTGCTGAGAAGGTTCTGGCACTGCTGTGGCACAAGCCTCAGGTCTTAGCCCGCCCCAAGGTGGTGGGGACAGGTGTGTTCTGCCCTTCGGGGTCTGCTAGGCCAACTAGGACCCTCCCCAAGCACACCACACCCTGCCGAGTCTCCAGGCACCTGGGCTCAGCTGGTGACTAACCCATTTGTTTGCTAAATATGCAGTTTTGTTTTTAATATGTATTCATGAAATCTTCCAGAACTGGCCTTGGACCACAGAAAAATAGTTTGGGGTTTTTCAAAAAATTCCCTTCGGTTCCACTTGGAATTAGGATTCAAGTGGCAGATACACTTGAATCATTTTAGAAACCAAAGTCGCCTCATCCACACAGCTGGCCACAGGACCCAGAGGCGAGTCAGCCATGGTGCTGCAGGGGCACCTTCCCAGGAGGAACTCACACCGTGCTGCACATGCTCTCTGGCCCTGCTGGGTTCTGAGCGGCCCTGGAGGTGGTTTCCCTGGGATTCCCCAGGCCGGAGGGATGCAGGCCAAGGGGCTGCTCTGGTCCCAGCCGCCCTGCAGGCACCCGCGGGCGGTGGGCTCCGGGGAGCACCCTGCCCCACTCTCACTCCCCCTTTGCTCTGCTCTTCAGGCACCAGGGGCAACCTGACAGAGGCTGAGAGGCCACTGGCAGCCAGCCTGGCCCTCACGGCTGGCACCGCCCTCCTCTCTGCCCACTTCCTGCTATGGCAGACCCTGGTGCTGTGGGTGGACTGGGCCCTTAGCGCCACGCTCCTGGCGCTCCACAGCCTGGAGGTCACGCTGCAGGTGGTTGCCATAGCCGCCTTCACCAGGTAGCTGCGGGCACCCGGGACACCCCACACTGGGCCCCTCCTGGCCGGCCCCCGCCTTCACCAGGTAGCTGCGGGCACCCGGGACACCCCACACTGGGCCCCTCCTGGCCGGCCCCCGCCTTCACCACGTAGCTGCGGGCACCCGGAACACCCCACACTGGGCCCCTCCTGGCCGGCCCCCGCCTTCACCAGGTAGCTGCGGGCACCCGGGACACCCCACACTGGGCCCCTCCTGGCCGGCCCCCGCCTTCACCAGGTAGCTGCGGGCACCCGGGACACCCCACACTGGGCCCCCTCCTGGCCGGCCCCCGCCTTCACCAGGTAGCTGCGGGCACCTGGGACACCCCACACTGGGCCCCCTCCTGGCCGGCCCCCGCCTTCACCAGGTAGCTGCGGGCACCCGGGACACCCCACACTGGGCCCCTCCTGGCCGGCCCCCAGCTGTCACCTCCCATTTCCTGGACCAGAAGGGCACCTGTCCTGGTGATTGGCCGTAGATGGTTCTGGATGGTTCCATCTGCCTTGGCAGGGGTGGCAGCAGGAGCCAAGCAGGACAAAATGCTGGAGGTCCCGGTGTTGGGGACAATGGCAGGGACCGCACGGAACTGCCCTTGAGATGAGGCCCAGAAGTGTGTGCTCAGCCCTGTCAGGGTCTGGCTTCAGCAACCCGGCCTCCATGGACCCCAGAGCCCCCAGGAGAGGGAGGACAGAGCCCCTCAGAACAGAGGCCTCGTCTCAGCATTCCCCATCACCTCTCCTTCCCCGACGGTCCTACTGTGTGTTCTGGGAGCCCAGTTTACTCCGTGGCCAGGCCCCAGCCATGTTTCCAAGTCGGGAAGGAAAAGCAGGATGGCGTGGGCCTTGTGCTGGGAGTGCCCCCACTCTGGTGGGCAGGCAGGCCCGAGTTCCAAAAGCAATAAATGCCAACAAGCCAGCAGCTCTGGTGTCGGAATTTCCATCTCAGCCACGCTCCTCCCTTCCTCGGGCTTCTGAGGAGAGGTCAGGGCCGAGGCCGGGGTGGGACCGAGGGAGAGACGGCAGCTGCGGGGCTCGCGTTCAGAGCCTCCGTCCAGATTTTAGCGACTTTTGCCTTTTGCACTGAATCCTAAATAAATTCTGTCTGATTTTTTTCCCATTCCCAGATTTACTGTAAGTTCCCCTTAAAAAGTATCTGAACTGTTACTTACAGTAGCTTTCCTTCATTTGCTTCTGTTGTGTGTTCTGCGTCAGGGATAATTACATCCACATCTAGAGATGTTCTCTTCGTCGCATTTTGTAAGTCAAGAAGTGCCTATGGCTCTTTGAATTGCTGCTGATGACGGCCACCTGCCCCACCCCATCTCCCGTTCTCCCTCCCTAGGAGAGAGTGCACCCTTCCTGCCACTGCTCAAGTCCTGGCGGGCCTCACCCTCCAGCCCTGGGTGCCTTCCACTCCATGCACTCCCGAAGGCAGGACGCCTCAGGACCTCCTGGGCCAACCCCGGGGCTCCCTCAGCTAGTGTGGCCGCAGGTGCAGCCCCTGAGCAGCCTTTCCTGCCTGTGCTCATGGAAGTACCTGGTTGCCGTGGGCTGACTTTGGTTGACCTGCCTGTGGCCCTCGAGGCCACATGAGCTGCAGGAAGGGCCTGAGGACCTTCTTCCCATCCCTGTGCCCCTGCAGCAAAGCCCGCACACCAGCGCCAGACCACCTCCCTCACCAGCGCCTGCTGCCCAGCACACTCCTGCCTGGACTGGAGACGACCATCTGGGCAGGCCTGCCACCTGGAGGACTCAGCCCAGGGACCACGCGGGCTGCGAAGGGCCACCTCCCCGAGGCTGGAGACCTATTGCCTTTGTGGTTAATGGATCCTGACACCTCTAGTCTCAGTGGGTACACAGAGGCTGGGGTCACCTGTTCCGCAGGGAATGTCATGTCTCCAGGTAGCCCAGAATGGGTGGGGCCCATGAGACCAGTCGGGACTTTTCTGAGTGCAGGCCGGCACTCAGTCTCACCATAGACACCGTGTATGGGTGGAGAGACCCCCTTGAGGATAGGCCGGCACTCAGTCTCACCATAGACGCCGTGTATGGGTGGAGAGACCCCCTTGAGGATAGGCCGGCACCCACAGTCTCACCGTAGACACCGTGTATGGGTAAGGACCCCCTTGAGGATAGGCCGACACTCACAGTCCCACCGTAGACACCGTGTATGGGTGGAGAGGGACCCCTTGAGGACAGGCCAGCACTCAGTCTCACCGTAGACACCGTGTATGGGTGGAGAGACCCCCTTGAGGACAGGCCGGCACTCACAGTCTCACTGTAGACACCGTGTATGGGTGGAGAGGGACCCCTTGAGGACAGGCTGGCACTCACAGTCTCACTGTAGACACTGTGTATGGGTGGAGAGACCCCCTTGAGGACAGGCCGGCACTCACAGTCCCACCGTAGACACCGTGTATGGGTGGAGAGACCCCCTTGAGGACAGGCCGGCACTCACAGTCCCACCGTAGACACCGTGTATGGGTGGAGAGACCCCCTTGAGGACAGGCCGGCACTCACAGTCTCACCGTAGACACCGTGTATGGGTGGAGAGACGCCCTTGAGGACAGGCCGGCACTCACAGTCTCACCGTAGACACCGTGTATGGGTGGAGAGACCCCCTTGAGGACAGGCCGGCACTCACAGTCTCACTGTAGACACCGTGTATGGGTGGAGAGGGACCCCTTGAGGACAGGCCGGCACTCACAGTCTCACTGTAGACACCGTGTATGGGTGGAGAGACCCCCTTGAGGACAGGCCGGCACTCACAGTCTCACTGTAGACACCGTGTATGGGTGGAGAGGGACCCCTTGAGGACAGGCCGGCACTCACAGTCCCACCGTAGACACCGTGTATGGGTGGAGAGGGACCCCTTGAGGACAGGCCGGCACTCACAGTCCCACTGTAGACACCGTGTATGGGTGGAGAGGGACCCCTTGAGGACAGGCTGGCACTCGCAGTCATGGGTGGAGAGAACCACACTGGGCTGTGTCCTCTTGTCTACTCCCAACTCTGCCTTCAGGGAGGGTGAGGGCACAGTGGGTTGGGTGCTTGCACCCTGTGCTCTGGGTCAGGCAGGATCACACATGGAGCAGGATTGTACTCGGTTCTAGGAAATCCAATTGCAAAGGCCATAAACCAGGAAGCCCGGCCTTGCTGGGGCTCATGGGCCGGCACTGGGCCCGAAGGGGGAGGGCCGCTTCCTGCCACCCCTCCACGGAGCTCACCTGTGGCGCCTCCCCAGGAAGTGCTCTGGCCAGCCCAGGGTAAACACACGAGTTCTGCCCCTCTGGGACCACTGCCCGAGGACCCAGACTCTTGGCCACACTCATTCCCTCCCCTGCCCAGGACCAGCAGCCGGAGCCTCGGGTCCCTTCATGGGCCTGGGGTGCCCTGTGCCTTTCAGCTCCTCCTTGCCCAGTTCACTGCTATGGCAGCAGGTTACCCGCTGTGTCCACTGCACCCTGGCCCTGTTCTGAGCAGTCAGAGCAGCTGAGGCAGAAGGGCCATCCTGGGAACCAGGTGGATGAGGACAGAACCAGACAGCCCCCCTGCTGCAGGCGGAGGGTGGGGCCTGGGCCTGATGACGGGGCCATGCAAGGAGCGAGGCATCCTCAGAGGGCCACGGGTGTCCCCATCTCCCCCAACACCCCTGTCCCTCAGTGCCCAGGCTGGGCAGAAGTGGGAAGGAGGCTCAGTCATCCTGGGAGCTCCAGGCTCCAGGCCTGGGTCCTGCCTGGCCCACTCACTCACGGAAGCCTGTGCCGCAGCTTCCCAAGGCCTGAGGCGCCCACAGGGGATGAAGTGACTCTGCCCCATGCCTGGGGCACCTGAGGGGCGCAGGTGGCCGGGCTGAGGCTCTGACTCCCCAGGGCCGGAACCCTCCCAGGCATCGCGCTGGTGCTGTCCCCCAAGGCCCATGGGCAGTGTCTCTTCAGTCCCCTCTCCCCACCCCCGCCTGCTGGGGTGTAGCTGGGCCTTGCCCAAGGAAGAGCCCCAGGCCTCACCCTCCTCATCCCCCAGAGACCGCCCTGCGCCCGCCTGTCCCCAGGTGCGAACTCTAGAGGCCAGGCCCGCGGAGGGGCCCCCAGGGGGGTTTTGGGGAGGAGAAGTTGGGCTGGGGCTGGAGCCCTGGGGGACACGGGCAGGGCGGAGCTGGGTCGGAGGTGACGGGGGCGCCTCCACCCCACGCCCTCCTCCCCCGCAAGCCCGCCCTGCTCTCGCTCTCGGGTGACTCCGCAACCTGTCGCTCAGGTTCCTCCTCTCCCGGCCCCGCCCCAGCCCGGCCCCGCCGAGTGTCCCACCCGCCCGCCGGAGACTGGGCGCCGCGGCGGAGGTGAGAACAGAGGGACGCCCGGGCGAGAGCCGAGGGGACAGGCCGGAGCAGGTGAGCGCAGCGGACGCGGGGGAGCACGCCCACCAGGACCTCAGTTTACCCCGGGGCTACGGGTCGTGGGGTTTCTGTTTCAGGACACCAGGCCGGGCTCGGCGTCCGAGGGCCTAGGGCACTAGGAGTTCAGCCGGGCCGGGGCAGGGGGTTGGGGGCCTGGCCGGGCCCTGCCTCCCCTGGACTCGCGGCTCTGGCGGGTCCTGCTGCAGCCCGGCCTGGCCTGTCGGTCCTGGGCGGCGGCCCTGAGCGAGGGTATTTTTAAGCCAGCAGTGGGTGACTCACCCGCTGTCCTGCCCCCTCCCAGCTCTGTGGCTTGGTGGGGGCAATCCCTGCCCCCAGAGGGTGCAGGTGGTAGCAAGGCTTTTCCCCCTTCTGGGCGGGCAGCAGGGTCCTCCCGAGAACCTGACCGTGGAGGTGAGCCCCAAAAGCCCATTCCCGCTAGGCGGGAGCCAGGACGCGCTTCCCGGGTGTCTCGGCCCAGAAGGAAGCCAGAGGCCAGGGAAGGAGGTCAGGGTCTGGGTGGGAGTTTGAGAGATGTGGGGAGGCTGGGACGGCAGCTGCAGGGGCCCTGCTGGGTGAGGCAGGAGGGGGTGCTGGCAGGAGCCTGTGGGCCTGCAATCTTCCGCCATCCCAGGTTCCGGGTTCCTGAGCCCAGCTGCCTGGCATTGCCCCTTGGTGTGGGGTCTCCCTGGTGGCAGAGGGGGAGGCATACTTGGACCTTCGTCCCCACCCACCCCGTGCCCAGCCTCTCCCTGGTCAGCTGTGCTGGGAGGCAGGCCCAGCTGGCAGCGGCCCCTCCCCTCCCGGCTCCTCCTGGGTCCCACCCTGTGCCCAGGCTCTCTGGGGCCTGCTTAGTACCCAGGCCTTGGCACAGCGCTCCCACCGGGCCTTCTCTACCTGCCTCCGTCTCCCTCTCCACCCTCAGCTTCCCAGCTTATCCTTTCCTCCCTCAAACCATAGCTTCCAAACCAGGTCATGGCCAGGCCATAAGGGGCACCCCATTTCAGGGTCCCACCCCGTCAAACCAGAAAGTCCTGGGTGCTCCAGGCCACCCCTGTGACCCTCCATGCCAGCAACACTGGCTGGTGGCCCCCACCCTGGGAGACCCAAACTCTGAAGCCACAGGGCGAGGCCCCGCCGGCTCTGGCAGGAAGCGGATGGCGTGGACCTGTGGGGAGCTGGCCGCAGAGCCAGAGGACAGCCAGGTCCACCCTGTGCCCTGGAGGCAGCCTGGAGCCCCTGTGACTCAGCTGACCCCTCTCCAAGGTCACTCAGCATGTGGAGCTGGAATTTGAACTTGGAGCCCGTCCCTCCACCCTCCTGTCCTTGCCAGGGCCTCCTTTTCTCCACTGCCCTACTGACGGGCACCCTGCTCTGCCTGCTTCACAGCAGGAGAATGACTGCAGTAAATCCGCAGTACAGACCGGGCCTCCCAGGCTCGTCCCCACCCCTAGTGAGCGGGGCGGGGCTCCATGGACACCACACCCTGCCCACCCTGCTGCCGCCTGGCCCTGCCCGGTCCGAGGTCCTCCACACCTGCAGGCAGCCGCTGGCCAGCAGGTTCCCAGCCTGGCCTTCCCCGGGGGTCGCGTGTCATGGCCCTGCCTTCGTGTTTGTTGCCCGCAGGCCTGAGTCTGTGAGGGTGTGTTGGTGTCCTGCCCGGTGTGTACCTGGACACACGTGCCTGGCACCCTTGGTGGAGCCCAGCAGGAATCCCATTAAGCAAACACTCAGGCCGGCCGCTGAGCCCGTGAACATTCCGGACATTCTCCAT